AACCCCCTTCCCCTCCCCCTTTTCTGATGAAGGGTCTAGGCCCGAAACGTCAGCCTCTCTGCTCCTATGATGCTGCTTGGCCTGCTGTGTTCATCCAGCCCTGCACCTTGTTGTCTCGGATTCACCAGCATCTGCAGTTCCTACTATCTCAGGCTTTGTTATCACATGTTCTGCTATTATACACAACCCACTGTTAGCCACTAATAGACCCCATTAGCTATTCATTCTCCCAGGCTGATTGTTATCCATTCCTTTGTCTGTCTAGCTATTCTTCTCTCTCTTTGGGCTCTATCTCCGCCTATCAGTTACTCCTTACCTCCTCCTCCACCGCACTACACCCCCCCCCCCCCCCCCCCCCCCCACCCCCCCCCACCCACCCCCTCACCAACCCCACAAGTGTTAACTCTGATTTGTCGCCACAGATGCTGCCAGACCTGCTGAGCATTTCCAGCAATTTCTGTTTTTGTTTTTGATTTCCAGCATTTAAAACAAATGCTTAGCATTTCAGAAACAGCAGGTTGATGGAGACTGACTTAGTCTCTGCTGGATGAGGATAATTTGCTTACTGTGGAAATTGTATCACTTAAGTTAACACACATAGGCATGGTCTGGAAAGGAGAAAAACGTAAAAGAATAGATTAATAAATATTTGTTCTTCTATTTTATATGTAAATGAAACTGAGGGACCTAAAAACACTGCAGGGTTGGAATTTCAGGCACAGCCTAGTCCTACTTGGATAACAAGTTGATTAACTGCAGGAAATTTCAACAAATAATTGTACACAGTTAAGAAACAGTTCATTGTAAACTTACACCAGAATATATTTGATTTCAGTCACATTGAAGACTAGTTTCATGAGCCCATACCTTGACATCCCTCATTGAAAAGGTCAGCAAACTGACTCCAAATCATCCAGTTACCCATAAAGTGCAGCCAAAGCAACAATTTCACTTCCACTCCAGGATTTACTCAGAATCAGTTTCAATTCCACCTTGGAATTTAAGGAGTTGGCAGTCCAACAATTCTGCCCCAGAATCAGGAGGGAGAGTTGGTGAAATATGACCCTCTAGCAATTCTGGAAATATTCATCATGTATGTTCAACGATAGACGGTTCAACTTCTCCCCATTTGCCCACTCAAGACAAAAATCAGTTCTTGTCTTGCCCTGTATCAAAGTATCAAAGGATGGGGCTCAGACTGATGAACATTAACTAACTGCAACAAAAGAAAGGTTGTGGATGAAATTGAATCACTAATTGTTGAACGAAGGATGGATTTGTTGGTACGTGGTGTGAAAATGAACATTAGTTTAGACAAGTTGTGTTTCTTTGAGATAGTGATGAATATCAATTATTTAACAATTACACCCTGACTGGAAAAGGCAAGAAGTTCAGAACACTAAAGCGACGCTTTCCTACCCTGAGTACCGTTGATGTTGCTGAAGCATAAAATAGAATATAACAATTGCAACCAGTAAATGTACACTGGATATTAATTACAACACAGAAATACACAGGGTTATTGTATCAGAGCATTAGTATATCTAACAAATCAACCAGGTACCTTTATATGTACATGAAGACAGGTCAACACAAGCATTTCAGAGACGAGTGCATTCAGCAACTCTGATACAGACAGCTTATTACTTTTAACAGGTTTGTAAATAATGTTAGAAAGACATGTTTGAGGATTTCAAAGGTATTGTTGTGGAGAACAATAATTAAGATAATGTTTAAATTTGCAATTGAGCTCTAATCCTTAACATGACTTACACAAAATTGAGAAATAGCAAAGTCTTTCTTTCATTAATGTGGGGGAAATGTAACCATCTGGAGTGAAGTGACTTTTCAATGTGTCTTTTCTTCTTCAATCGAAATCATGAGGTTTCAATGGGGCGTTTCAGGCATTCACCCTCACACACACCCTCATTTTCACTGTTACTTCAAGTCTGCTAAAGTGAGGCAAATTTTGTTACTGTAATTATTCTATATCCCCACCTATTCCACTTTCTCCCCCTCTCCTTTAATAAAAGTGACATTAATGCTGAACAATCATCTGGCAGATACTGTATCAGAAGGATTGTGTGCGTGAACCAAGTGTATTGTAATGCAGCAATTGAAAGCTTGACTGTATTTGAGTTCCTGTCCTCTATCTTGGAAGAACGCCCGGTTTCCCTATCGCAAATATACAAGTCCCTTACAATCCCTCATTCTGAAATACTCATATGAGATTTGACATGTGATAGGAATATATGATCATTTGCAGGCAAGGTATTCTATATTTTGTACTGAAAACAAATAAACTGACAATTGATTTATTTAAGACGAGCTGAAATTGAAATGTAAGCAAGTAAATGTAAGAAATTAATTAATTTCCTACTCGTCTTTTAAAGAAATGTCATGAAGGGTAATACTAGGTATTCCTCACTTAAAGGGACACACAGCAAGTGAGTAGCTTGAGTAGGTTCCTCTCAGTAGCTCTGCTGGTCTCACACGTAGTTCCTTGCAGTAGAAGGATCACCTTGTGATCGTGGGTAGGCATTGCTTGGGTAGGATCCTCCAGTACCTTTGGAGCAAGAGCAGCACAGGAAGGCCCCACCGAGTAGACAGAGGGCAGCAGCAGCCCATCCTATGAACAGAGCTTGGCCAAACTCATACCTGCAAAAGAAAGAGAAACAAGATCAATATTTTGATGCATTGGCCTTTGATCAGACGAGGGCCAAAAGTCCCTGAAAACTTTCCATGTTTATTCTTAACCAATATTTGTCTTTCTTTCTAAAGTCTATATGGAACAATGGATTTCTCTTCTGAGGATTGGTTTATTGTACAGGTGGTTTACCAATGCTCAATTTTAAAATGTTTGTTGGGGTTTTGAATTTGTTTTATAGATTCTTCCAAAACTCTGGACCTAATTCAATTCAATATTCCAGGCTGCAAGCAATTGTCTTATTCAGAGACCTCTGTTTGTAGGTTTCATTGGCATTCGCTTCAGACAAAGGTCTGAATTCCAATAGTTCACATTAAAATAGATCATCCTCCAACAATCCATGTGGAATTCAGACACATAGTAGAAAATTGGGATAGAAATGATTGGACATGACAGAGTGAGCAAATGAGTGACAGCCTTCAAGATAGAAGAGATTTATCATCCACTCAGTGCTTCTGCTTGTAGCATTGCAGCAATCTTCAGGCAGAAATACTCAGTGGAAAATCCACCTTGGTCTCCTCTGGATCACCCCAGCCTCACAGTTGCTGGCATTTAGTCAATTTGATTCACTCCACATGAAATTGATATACTGCTGGAGGTACTAGGTACTGCAAACATTATGGGCTCTGACAACATTCTGGCAATAGCACTGAAGACACATACTCCAGAACTAACTGCACCCCTAGATACGCTATTCCAGTGCACCTTCAACACTGGTATCTACCCACCGATGTGGAAAATTGACCAGGTATGACCTGTACACAAAAAGCAGGACAAATACAACCAGGTCATTAGCACCCTGTCAGTCTGCTGTCAATTTTCAGCGAAGTAATGGAAGATGCCATCAACAGTGTTTTCAAACACTAACACGCTCAACATTGACCTGCTCACTGATGTTTAGTTTGGGTTACGCCAAGGCCATTCAACTCTTGACCTCATTACAGCCTTGGTTCAAACATGGACAAAAAGCTGAATTTCAGAAGTGAGATGAGAGTGACTTGACATCAAGGTAGCATTTCGCTGACTGGAGCATCAAATAGCTCTAGCAAAACTGGAGTCAGTACAAATTGGTAGATAGCTGTCTGCTGGTTGGAGTCCTACTGGCATAAATGAAGGTGATCTTGGTTGTTTGAGGTCAATCAGGAACAGTTTCAGGACATCTCTGCGGGAGTTCCTCAGGATAGTGTCCCAGAGCTAACTATCTTCAGCTGCTTTTGTCATGACCCTCTCTCCATCATAAGATCAGAATTGGGGATGTTTACTGTTGATTGCACAATGTTCATCATTCGTGACTCCTCAGATACTGAAGCAGTCCAAATTCAGGAAGACCTGGACAATATGCAGGTTAGGCCTGACAAATGTCAAGTAACATTCATGCTACACAGTGTCAGCCAGTGATCATCTCACCAATGAAAAAGAAGTGTAACCATTCCAGAATTTCAAACTTTGACCAATTAACACAAAAGAATTGTTGAAGTCAACAACTTGCATTTATGCAGCATTCAGTCCTTCTTGTTCATTCTCAGAATGCAGAAATCCCTAGCTTGTCCAGAATTTTATTTCCCAACCCTAGTTACCCTTTAGAAGATCGTGCTGAGCTCCCTTATTTATCTGCTGCAGCCTTTGTGCCATTAGGGGGGGAGTTTCAGGATTTTGACACTGAAGAAACAGCGATATATTTCCAGGTCAGGATTGTGAGTGGCTTACAAGGGAGGTTGCACATGGTGGTGTTCCCATTAATCTGCTGCCCTTGCTCTTCTGGATAATAGTGGTTACAGGATTTGGAAGGTGCTGTATAAGGAGCCTTGATGATTTTCTGCATTGCATCTTATAGATGGTACATCCTGCTGCTACTGAGTATCATTGGATGATGGGACATATGACACTTCAGCTAAATCTGCGGCTAATGTAAAGATAGGGAGGAGATTAAGTTGTAAAGATGACAAGGGAGTCTGCACATGGATATAGACAGGTTAAACAAGTGTGTAAAAACAATGGCAGGTGGAAAAGTAGACAGAAAATGTGAAGTTAACACTTTGGTAAAGTAACTGACTGATAGAATATTTAGTAAATGGAGAGAGATTGTAGAATGTTGCCATACAGAAGGATATAAGTGTCGTTACATATTTATCACAGAAAGATAATCCGCGGATACAGCAAATAGTTAAGGCAGCAAATGGTATATCAGCCTTCATTGCAAGGTGACTCAAAGATTATTTTCTCCTAATCATTATTTTTTGGTCATCTTTTATTGAGAACCCCTGTTAGTTTTGGATTCACAGACAATTCACCAGAATGACTTCCAAAAAAAAAGGCACTCGAGAATGCTTCCTGCAATGGGGAACACCAGTTACCCGGATAGAATGAAGGAGCTGGGACTGTCTACTATTTTGAAGGGAGGTTTGACAGGAGATTTGATCAGGGTATTCAAAATCTTGGAGTCTAGACAGGGTGAATGGGGAGAAACTGTTCTCATAGGTGGGAGGATCAAGAGCCAGGCGTTGTAGATTTAAGATAATTAGCAAAAAAGTATCAAGAGAAGTAACATTTTCACACAGTGAATGGTTAGGAACTGGAATGAACAGCCTGTGAGTAAAAGGTGGGAAATGGCACTGAGTAATCCACTCTTGCAGAGACTCAGATAAACAGTGGGCTGAATGACCTCCATCTGGTCTCAATCTTTCTGTGATACAGAGTTCAGTTCGGTTTGGATTAGTATTAGAGTTGAGTGTTGGCATCACACATCTGTGGATTACAAGAATGGGAAAATTGAAGATTTGGTCTATTCCTGGATTGCAAATTATTTATCATGCAACTTTTAGGAATGCAAAAGTCAAGAGTTCAGAAGAACTGGAGATTTTCTGCTTTTTTACGATAAGCTAAGCGGCTTTACGAGAAAACTGTTTCAGAAGAGGGATGAACGAATACTTAATAGCCTATAATTACTAGACAAACTGACTGAGTTTTTGAAGAGGCCTAATGTGGCTTAGCAACAGCCTCTGCGGTTTGCTTTCTATTTTTCTACACTTGAGAATTGTTTAGTTGTGGAAGTAATCCAGAGTCTCAAACTAATGTTATGGGTTTATGGGTTCAAGTCCCACCACAGTAGATGGTGAAATTTGACTTCAATGAAAATCTGCAATTACAAGCCAACCTAATGGTGACCACATAACCATTAACTGGCTCACTAATGTCCTTTAGGGAAGGATTTTTTAAAAATTCATTTGTGGGATGTAGGCATTGCAGCATTTATTGCCTGTTCCTACTTGCCCTGCAGAAGGTGTAGCTGAACCGCCTTCTTGAACATGCTGTGGGTTGACCCATAATGCTGTTAGGATTTTGACTCGTGAAAGTGAAGGAATGGTGATATATTTCCAAGTCAGGATGGTGAGTGACTTGGAGGGGAACTTGCAGGTAAAGGTGCTCCCATGTATCTGCTGCCCTTGTCTTTCTAAATGGAAGTGCCTGTAGGTTTGGAGGGTACTGTCTAAAGATCTTTGGTGAATTTCTGAAGTACATCTTGGACATAGTACAGATTGCTGCTACTGACATTCAACAGTGACCTCCTCTTGTAGCCACTGTGTTTACATGGCAGGTCCAGTTGCCTAATTTTCCAATCATTATTTCTCTGCTCAGGGCTGAGTCATCTCATCCTGTCTGTTTATTAATGTACATGGATTCAGCATTAAGGGGATAAAGTTTAACGTTATATAGGAGCTTCGTTGATAACCGGTTTGACACAAGTTTAAAGCAAAGATTTGTTTCTAATAAACCAGATATTTTACTGAAGAAACTTGGTACAAGGTTCGTTTTTTTTTGTGAACAGTAATTAAGAGAAACAAATTGGCTGTTATTGTAATTAAAATAAAATTGTTTAGTAGTGGGATTGATTTCTAGTGCAGTCCTCACTCCAGAGTTGTAACAAGAGGGAGGAAGTGAAAAGAATGCAGAGAAAATGGCAGAAATTCTTTTCAACATTGAAAATGATAACAGCATATATGAATCATACCCTTACAGCTTGTGATGCTTATGGGATTAATTAAAATAAACTGTACGCAGTTAATTTGAGCCCACATATTTCACTTCTCCACGCCCCCCCACGCATATTTGCGAACACACACAGAAACAACATTCACTTTTTCAAAGAATGTTCCCTGCTTTGTTTCATCTTGTACAGACCATTAACCTGCAAGCGGAGGTGAGCCCAACTGAAAAATCAGCCTTTCGATGTTTGTAAGAACAATCAAACCTTTCAGCATAGAAGTTTACTTTCTCCAAACATTAAATCTGAATGGTATCTGCTGTGGCTAAACAGTACAGCTGAATAGGCATTAGCACACATTTTACAACTCTACCTCCTCCTTTAAAGCCATGTCAGTAGTTCAAAACTCTATGACCATAGCATGCAAAGTTCATAATAATTCTGAGTAACATTGCCTCCACTTGCTGAACTGCATAAATCATCAATTATTTTTTGTTGATGTGCAGGAATTACGCAAGATAAATGTATCCATGTCTAGCTTAATTCCACTGTCCTTTGAGGACTTTCAAGTGAGAAGTAATCAGCAATTCATTAACAAATCACGACCAAAGGAAAATATTACAGATGCTGGAAATCTGAAATCTGAAATAAATACTGAAAATGCTAAAGAAACTCAACAGGTCTATTAGCATTTGTTGACAGAGAAACAGTCAACATTTCAAGTCCAATATGACTCTTTCTTGCCCAAAAATGTTAACTCTGTTCTCTCTCCACAGATGCTGCTGATGGTTTCCAGTGCTTGATATTAACATTAAATGTACAGTTTTACTGTTGTTTATGGGTCATAGAAATTCCTCAACAGTGGAGTAACTGAGACGTTTGTTATTCAAAACAAAGAACATCTCACCCACTAAAGAAGAAGGAAGGTCTCTGAGATTGGAAACAGAAAAAGGAAGGGGCTCATGCCAAAAGAAGAAATTCAAAGTCACATGATACAACTACAAAAGTGTTGATTTTGATACACAAGGTGAAATTGGTCTGTCAATACAGTGTGGAGCTGGAGGAACACAGGAGGTCAGGCAGCATCAGAGGAGCAGGAGAGTCGACATTTCAGATCGGGACCCTTCATCAATCCTGATGAAGGGGCCCAACCTGAAACATCAACTCTCCTGCTCCTGTGATGCTGCCTGACCTCCTATGTTCCTCCAGCTCCACATTGTATTGACTCTGACCGCACCATCTGCAGTTCTCGCTGTCTCCAAGTGAAATTGATCTGTGCCAGTTTCATAAAGCAGGCAGACGGGGACCATTGTTAGACATTGCACTCAATTTCCCATTAACTTGAGTGGAAATTGATTCACTACTGATTCACCAATCAGCTAATTTTCTGTCACTCCCATGGATTAAATCTTTCCCCTAGTGCATCTCAGGTCGAAAGTGCACTATTTCAATAGATGATGCTTTGGGAAGGTGTAGAGAGAAACAGAGCCCACAATGGAACGTTTTGTTTGATATGATCTGTTAGTCTTTGGGATATATGTCCCACTTACCAGGCATCACATAGCCAATGAAACCCATATACCATATTACTCATTTATGTGTTAGGCACATCAGATTTTTGGCTTAATGGAAGCATCCTGTTAGTGGCAGAAGTGGCATTCTGCAATAATAAGGTAGTTATCACACAAATATTCATAACGTAGGGTCTTGTCCTTTACAAGCAGAAAGTACATATCCATACATTGTACCTTTTTCAACTGAACAACAGCTTGGGAATAGTAAATATCTAGTGCATTCCATATGACAATGATACAAAAATAGAGATTGCTGGAAAAGCCCAGCAAGTCTGGCAGCATCTGTGGAGAGAAATCAGAGTTAATGTTTCAGGTCAAGTGACTCTTCCTCAGAACACGATAATGTCTTGGACAATCACAGTCAACTTGTCTGGTATGAATTCAAACAGAAGTTTGACTGTTAACTGTACCCTGCTGCATTTCCCATGACAACTTTTCTCCCAGAGGTGACTTGCCAATTCATTTCATGAGGTTTAAATTGTTATTCCCTTTGGTATTGTGTAAATTCTGTCCTGCTGACCGCAAGGTGAAAAGCTTCAACAGTATGTCTTTTTTTTACATACTTCAGTTCTGGACTACAATGTAATTGTTACATGACCTTCGGAATAAATCAGTTTCTACCAAAACTGTATGTTACTACCACATTTATAATTGTGTCAATATTTACAATGTTCATTGCATGTCAAACATATAACCTGAGGGGTATTTTCAAACATTTTAACCCCCTTAGTGAAGTATGGCTAAAAGCCTGTACACAGTGGTGTTGCCACATTGCACCTTTGAAAGGGATTCTCAAGTGGCTACAGCTGAACTAATTGCTGGTTCTGGCAGGCTCTTTTCCCTGAGGAACTTTCAGTTCTCTCAAGTCAAGCTGGTCTTTTTAAGGGGAGAATACAGCTGAGGAGGAAGATGAAAAGGGGAAGAAGGAAAAGTACTCAAAACATGACATTTGAACACAACCTACTTATTCGAATTCAGCTTCCTCATTTCAACCACAATCAATGGGTACTTCCAGACCAGTCTCTTATTTTGTACGTGAGACCACAATCTAAAGTTGCTTTAACTATTGACATTCTTACAATGTTAATCCCAGAGACACACCAAGCCTCATTAATTATTGTTATTTTAATCAAACTATTCAGATGTGTTATAACATACCTCCAAGGCAGTGGAACCTGAACGCAGATCTCCTAGTTGAGAAGTAGGGACACTGTCACTGCACCACAAAACCCTCACCTCATTTAGTACTGGCTCTAGCAATCCATGAGAAAATCATTTTAAGCAACCAGTTTTCCCTAGGACTTCATCAGTGCAGGGACACAACTCTACAAAGGATGATTTATTTGATAGATTGTTAGAATTCAATTCAAATTGGAGCTGCATCATGGAACCAGATGCTGTCCTCACTCACTGGATTGTCATTTGGAAAGGAAGTAGTGTCTGATGTGTTTTCGCCAAGAGCCAGAGCCTCTGTTTGCCTCAATTTTCTTCCTAATGATCTACAAAGGAGAAAACTCCTCAACTAAACCTACAACTTTGCGCTTCAAGTGGAACCAGATGAACTATCATGAAATCAACCATTTTTGGCTGGCAGACCATGGCTCAGGAAGTACAGATCTTGCCTTTACCTCAGAACATGGTGGGTTTAAATTCTCAAGCACATAATCTAGACTGTGATGTCTGCTCTGAGAGGGTGCTACACTGTCACATTTGCCACTGTTCATGTAAGATAATAAGCTAAGGCCCTGTCTGCCCTCTCATTCAAAGTAGAAGATCCTATGTCATTTGAAGAGCAGGGAGGTTCTCCTGGCCAATATTCATCCAAAAATCAAAACTGCCAAAAAGATTATTGAAATAACTCCACAAAGGCTTGACTTTGTGTCACTCCTTGACACTGATCCAGCTTTCTCAGAGCCAGGTCTTAGAGTGAGCAGAACCTCTGACACTCCTGTCAACCAGGAATCCTTAATTGGACCAGATTAACAGTCCCAATCAGGGAACTCATATTCTGTGAGGTCCATCTGGTTGACCTTGTTACAATCACCACAATTATCTTAATTGTTTAAAAGTAATTTGGAACATTCTGAAAGAGACTTTAATTACGAAGAATTCTTTCTTGCTTTGTTGGAAGCCAGATAGACCACTTACCTGTTGTTGGTTGGTGTTAAGGGGTTGTAGAACTCTCTAGTAATGTTGTTTCCATACCAGGCTGTAGCAACCAATGTAGCAAGACCTGAGAAAGAGACCAGGAAGGAAAAAGTTAGTCTCAGTCATCTTCTGCTAAAAGAAAAGAATGTGTCAAAATGCAAAGGAAATCGAATAGGCCTGTTACAGGCTTGCTCTAGGTCTTAGATCTGGCTTATTCCATGCAGTGTTAATTTTGGCTGATAAAAAGAACTTAGCATTGCTCAACAAAAATGATTACTCACCTCCACGCCCTCATCATTATTATGAAATACCATAATTTCCCAAATTACAACAAAGATATTTCATTTATGTTTCTTTTCTATTCATTTGTGGGATGTGGGCATCGTTGGCTGGCCGGCATTTCTTGCCCATCCCTAGTTGCCCTTGAGAAGGTGGTGGTGAGCTGCCTTCTTGAACTGCTGCAGTCCTCCTGCTGTGGGTTGACCCATGCTGCTATCAAGGAGGAAATTCCAGGATTTTGACCCAGCGACAGTGAAGGAACGGTGACATATTTCCAAGTCAGGATGGTGAGTGACCAGGAAAGGAACTTGGAGGTGGTGGTGTTCCCCTATATCTGCTGCCCCTGTCCTTCTAGATGGAAGTGGTCGTGGGTTTGGAAGGTGCCGTCTGAGGATCTTTGGTGAATTTCTCCAGTGCATCTTGTAGATAGTAGACACTACTGCTACTGAGTGTCAGTGGTGGAGGGAGTGAATGCATGTGGCTGTAGTGCCAATCAAGCCGGCTGCTTTGTTCTGGATGGTGTCAAGCTTCTTGAGTGTTGTTGGGGCTGCACTCATCCAGGCAAGTGGGGAGTATTCCATCACACTCCTGGCTTGTGCCTTGTAGATGGTGGACAGGTTTCGAGGAGTCAGGGTTGAGTTACTCGCCACAGTATTCCCAGCTTCTGGCCTGCTCTTGTAGCCAGTGTTAATGTGGTAAGTCCAGTTGAGTTTCTGGTCAATGGTAACCCCCAGAATGATGAAAGTGTGGGATTCAGTGATGGTATCATCATTGAATGTCAAGGGATGGTGGTTAGATTGTCTCTTATTGGTGAGGGTCATAGCCTGGCATTTGCGTGGCGCAAATGTCACTTGCCACTTTTCAGCCCAAGCCTGGATATTGTCCAGATCTTGTTGCATTTGAACATGGACTGTTTCAGCATCTGAGGAGTCATGAATGGTACTGAACATTGTGCAATCATCGGCGAACATCTCCAATTCTGACCTTATGATGGAGGGAAGGTCATTGATGAAGCAGCTGAAGATGGTTGGGCCTAGGACACTATCCTGAGGAACTCCTGCAGAGATGTTCTGGAGCTGAGATGATTGACCTCTCACAACCACAACCATCTTCCTATGTGTCAGGTATGACTCCAACCACTGGAGCATTTGCTCCCTGATACCCATTGATTCCAGTTTTGCCAGGGCTCCTTGATGCCACACTTGGTCGAATGCAGCCTTGATATCAAGGGCTGTCACTCTCACCTCACCTCTGTAATTCAGCTCTTTTGTCCATGTTTGAACCAAGGCTGTAATGAGATCAGGAGCTGAGTGGCCCTGGCGGAACCCAAACTGGGCGTCGCTGAGCAGGTTAGGTCTGAGCAGGTGCAGCTTGTTAACACTGTTGATGACACCTTCCATCACTTCACTGATGATTGAGTGTAGACAAATGGGGTGGTAATTGGTCACTTTGGATTTGTCCTGCTTTCTGTGTACACAACATACTTCAGCAATTTTCCACATTGTCGGATAGATACCAGTGTTGTAACTGTACTAGAACAGCTTGGCTAGGGGAGCAGCAAGTTCTGCAGCAGAAGTCTTCAGTACTTTTGCCAGAATGTTGTCAGGCCCCGTAGCCTTTGCCAGTATCCAGTGTCTTGATATCATGTGGAGTGAATCAAATTGGCTAAAGACTAGTGTCTGTAATGCTGGGGACCACTGGAGGAGTGCACAAGATGGATTATGCACTTGGCACTTCTGGCTGAGGATTGCTGCGAATGCTTCAGCCTTATCTTATGCACTGATGTGCTGGGCTCTTCCATCATTGAGGATTGGGATATTTGTGGAGCCTCCTCCTCCAGTGAGTTGTTTAATTGTCCACCACCATTCACGACTGGATGTGGCAGGACTGCAGAGCTTAGATCTGATCTTTTGGTTGTGGGATTACTTCGCTCTGTCTATCTCTCGCTGCTTCCACTGTGTGGCATGCAAGTAGTCCTGTTTGGTGGCTTCACCAGGTTGATCGCTCATCTTCAGGTATGCCTGGTGCTGCTCCTGGCATACCTTCCTGCTTTCTCCATTGAACCAGGGTTGATCCCCTGGCTTGATGGTAATGGTTGAGTCGGGGATATGCCAGGCCATGAAGTTACAGATTGTGCTGGAGTACAATTCTGCTGCAACTGATGGCACACAGCGCCTCATGGATACCCAGTTTTGAGTTGCTAGATCTGTGTGAAGTCTGTCCCATTTAGCAAAGTGATCATGCCACACAACACGATGGAAGTTATTCTCAATGTGAAGGTGGGACTTGGTCTCCACAAGCACTTGTGATTGTCACCCTTACCGATACTGTCATGGACAGATGCAACTGCAGCTGGCAGATTAATGAGGATGAGGTCAAGTATGTTTTTCCCTCTTGTTGGTTCCCTCACCACCTGCCACAGACCCAGTCTAGCAGCTATGTTCTTTAGAATCCGACCAGCTCAATCTGTAGTATTGCTGCTGACATTGAAACCCCCCACCCAGAGTACATTTTGTGCCCTTGCCATCCTCAGTGCTTCCTGTAAGTGTTGTTCAACATTGAGCAGTACTGATAAATCAGCTGAGGTTCGTCGGTATGTGGTAATCCGCAGGAGGTTTCCTTGCCCATGTTTAACCTAAAGCCATGAGACTTCATGGGGTCTGGAATCAAAGTTGAGGACTCCTAGACCAACACCCTCCCGACTGAATACCACTGTGTTGCCACCTCTGCTGAGTCTGTCCTACCAGGGAGACAGGACATATCCAGGGATGATGATGGTGGTGTCTGGGACATTGTCTGTAAGGTATGATTCTGTGAGTATGACTGTGTCAGGCTGTTGTTTAACTAGTCTGTGAGACAGCTCTCCCAATTTTGGCACTAACCCCAAGATGTTAGTGAGGAGGACTTTGCAGGGTCGACAGGGCTGTTTCTGACGTTGTCTTTTCCGGTGCCAGATCCATGCCAGGTGATCCGTGCAGTTTCAATTCTTTGAGACTTTGTAGCGATTGGTACAACTGAGTGGCTTGCTAGGGCATTTCAGAGGGCAATTGAGAGTCAACCACATTGCTGTGGGTCTGGAGTCACATGTAGACCAGACCAGGTGAGGGTAGCAGATTTCCTTCCCTGAAGGACATTAGTGAAGCAGATGGGTTTTTCCGACAATCAGCAATGATTTCATGATGATCAGTGGATTCTTAATTCCAAAATTTTTTTTTCATTATTGAATTCAAATTCCACCATCTGCCGGGTCCCTAGAACATCAGCTGGGTTTCTGGATTAATAGTCCAGCGATAATACCACTAGGCCATCGTCTACCCGTTTAACAGAGTAAAATGTCCCAAAATGCTTCATAGGCCTATTATCAAACAAATGTAATGTTACGCTAAGTCACTACATGAATAATCCAGAAGCCTATGTAACATTCTGGAGTTAAAGCTTCAAAACCCACTTAGGAAGTGAATCCAGAAGAACTGGCCCTAGGGACTTAAATGCAGAGCCTCCGATAATCCAGCAATTTAAGTTTGTGATGCTCAGAAACTTGAGACTTGGGAAGTGCTAATATTGATATAATCCCAGCTAATGTTAATAGAGGTCAAGTCACATCCCAGACTGAAAACTGGATTCGTGGATCTTAACTTTGATTTTTAAAAACCCTGGGAATCAATTATCGAATGCATTCATAAGAATCTGTTGGATTCCTTTTAGGACAACAAGAAAAACATGAATTGGCCAAAATGGTTAGAATGATTTTAGTATAAACAACAGCAAAAGGATTCATACTTATACCATTTATTTTATTCCAGCAAAAACTTCCAGATGAAGCAGGATGACCCGGGTCCCTTTCTTTAGTCACCCATGCCCCTCTGTTAGTTGCATGAAGGTTGATTTAAAAAGGATCCCTCCCTTTATAGATACTGTTCCACCCCACTGGGCTAGCACACTGGAAATCAAGCCCCACTTTTCCCCAGAGAAGTCACATAAGTTAAAATTTAAAAATTTGCAGAATTGTCAAATTTACCTGTCTTTTAAACCCTGGTTAATACAAAGCACAGACCAGGTTTCTGAACTCAAGAAGAATTGCTATTTATTTCAAATAAATAGATTCTAACTGCAAATAAACAATTATGATCAGTTGACATAAAACTCTACTAGATAAAACTTAACCCACTTATAAACTGCCCCTCTAATGTGCATAGACAGGCACAAAAAGCATGGGTGTTTGACAGAGGGGAAGACTGAGAATGCAGCTCAGTGATCCCTGTTCACAACGTTTGCTGAGACTGATTAGAATGCTCCTCTTCGATCTTCCTTCTTCAGATCCTTTCCTTTGTTTGCAGGAGGCACAGGGTGACTTGTTCACAATTAGAAAAGGTCTTGAATTTATGAATTAAAAAGGTCACAGCTGCAGAGGTCATTTGCACCACACAAATAACAGGCAATGACCATCTCCAAGGAGAGAAATTTAATAATTGCTACTTGACATTCAATGCTGTTACCATCACGGAATCCCCCACTAAGAACATAATGTGGGGGTATTATTCATCAGAAACTGAAATGGGACTAGCCATTAAACACTGTAGCTACAAGAACAAGTCAGAGACAGGGGATGCTCCAGTGAGGAACACACTTCCTGTCTCCCCAAAGCTTTTTGACTATCTATAATACACAAGACAGGAGTGTGATGGAATAGTCCTTGTTTGCTTGGATGAGTACCATACTAACAATACTCAAGAAACTTAACACTATCTGTGCCCACTTGCAAACATTCATTTCCTCCACCACTGATGGTCATTAGCAGCAGCGTATACCTTCTATGAATGGCACTGCAGAAATTCACCAAAGCTCCTTAGACAGGACCTTCCAAACTCAGAAATACTAGGAGGATAAGGGCAGCAGATACAAGGGAACACCATACCTGCAAGTTCCCCTCTAAGACACGTACACTCATGATTTACAAATACATCACTATTTCTTGAGAGCTGCTGGGTCAAAACCCTGAACCTCTTTCCCTAATGGTATTATGAGTCTGTATTAAATGGACTGATGTGGTTCAAAAAGGCAGCTCACCACCACCTGGTCAAGGGCACTAGGGATGGGCAAACAATTATGGCTTTGTCATTGGCATCCACACTGTCTTAATGAATAAACAACATATCTTTTCTCTCTGCCACAAAACACACCCTTCGAAAAGATTCATCCTCATCCACACCAAAAATGGTGGCAACGGCACGGCAGGGAGTGTTAGGACTCCTGAGCACATATGCTACAGGCTAGCCGCACCTCTCGCTCTTTCTCTCATTTTCCATCTTCTCCTTTCTCTATTCTTTCATCAGAGCAGTGTCAGAGGCTGGTCGGCTGCAGTGGTGGAGGTGCCTGGATCGAGGAGGTAGGCCCGGAGCCTGGACTTGGAAAGTCGTTGGGCCGTTGGCTGTGGTGGAGCTTGGTGCCCAGAGAGGGGCTGCATCCTTTGTGCAGTTTAAGGTTGGCGCAGACTTGAAGTGAAGTCTCAGTGGAATGGTGCGGACTGAAGGTGGAGTCCAGTATAGACTGGAGAGAAGGCACAGCACAGATTGGAGGGTGGGACCCCTGCACTGTCCAGAGAAGAGGTCCAGCGCAAACTGGAGGAGAATCCCCTGCGCGGACAGGAGGAGAGGCCCCTGCGCGGACAGGAGGAGAG